TAAGTATCTTCAGGCAAGCACTCCTAGCTATGTGCCCATCTGCTAAGTATCTTCAGGAAGCACACCTAGTTATGTGCCCATCTGCTAAGTATCTTCAGGAAGCACACCTAGCTATGTGCCCATCTGATAAGTATCTTCAGGAAGCACACCTAGCTATGTGCCCATCTGATAAGTATCTTCAGGAAGCACTCCTAGCTGTGTCACACATACAGCAGTGGTGCTATTGTGATTAGCACTTAAGTGTTTTCTTCCTATGGTGTCCGTAGCAGTAATCACAGACTGCAGTGAACATGTGCTCTATAGTATACCTCAACAGGAATGTGGCTCTCTGTACCCATGCATACATTAAGTTGTAGTTGTCCTGTGGGTCTATCATTTACAATAGATTACTCGCGCATTAATAATACTTAAAGCCATATTACGTTTACACTTTTAGAGATAATTGTAATTAAATGATTTCCAAAATCTCAAATGACTTGCATAGCTAACTGTGAAATGTTGTAGTAACAAAATCTGTCTTGTTGCAAATTTTTTCTGTATTTGGTTTAAGAAGTTGCATGAGCAAATGAAAAATTCTTACCATATTATGTAACATTAAAGTCCTTCCTAGCAACAGATAGCTTTGCAATGAATTCTAAACTATTAGTTCATACATACAAGATGCAACAAATCTCAAACCTGATAATTATATAAATGCATGTACCTCAATGGTGAATTCTGGGTAAAAATTCAACATTTCTGTGGTGGCCATTTCGAATAGATTAGTAAACTTAAGATTTTATTTAACAAATTAGTAGTAACAATCAGTGCATTAGAAAGTAAAAAAAAATCCTACTACACTACACTGCCCTGATCTAAACATTTTCTAATGCTTAGATCAAATTTATTCATTTTTATAAGACTTTCAAATACATTGCATGGTAGCCAATTCTTAGTATCCCCACCAATACTTGCCAGTTGACGTAAAGTTTGAGTCTTCTGATTCGGCATACAACTTTGTGAAGAGGTATTCTCGAGGTAACATGTTCATTGCAGTAAAAATGACTTTTATTACAAGTACCAAGACTGTGTATATGGAATTTCCAAGAACTTTTATGTCAGTTGACAAACAAGGATTTTTTTAATATGAAACCTATAAAATATTTTTTGTGTCACCAGAGAGTGATATTTATTGAATACCGAGCGCTTCTGAACCCGCAATATTTGCTAGTTGTCATTTATGTATATGGTTGCTTAAAACCAATTAATTTTTCTGTACTTTACCCAAAGTAGAGATGGGATATATTCCAAAGGTGCTGTTTTTTTTCTATCAGTATTGCTTTTATAGTTCTCAAGTAGCAGCACTATTAGTTTTTCTTTTTTGTCTGGATTTACATGTTTAGAACAATGTGATGAATGAATATTTTATTCTAAAAATGTGCACAGCCCTTTACACTTGCCAATCACACTGGCTTCTAACAAGTGAATTGAGAATTTAGCACACTATGCTTAGAGCATTAATGGTTAGTTCAGTTACCAAGATGTGTAGTATGTATATTCACATAATTGAAGTCCAATACCAGCTATTAAATGCAAAGTAATGCAAAATATCTGAATGTTGTATCATAGAATTCAGCTCATTTCTACTACTTACCAGTATTGAAAGCATGTAAAAATGCACTTATACAAGTCTCTTTTTTTACTTGTATATTTTGTACTCGTAGTATAAATCATTTGTCAAGGTAAATCTTCCGCAACTTGTCTCGTCCTAGGCACATGAAATTATTACATGGCAAATAATTGTAAGAATACACATCAATGATAGATAAGATCAGAATTGGGCATTGATTCAGGATTGTTGACTTCATATACAAAGTATCTTCATTTCCGGGACAAGATTTACCAGGTTCAATATTTAGGGTTTTACTTCAGTTTGTATTTTGAACATGCTGGGTATGTGGGTGGTATAACCACATCAATTTTCTCATAGCATTGTCTATTCAAATCACTAGTTTCCCCTTCCACTGCTATTATTTGTTAAAAGTTAATGCTCGGTATGACAACTGACTTCTTAGTTAGAAAAGCAATTTTTGTACAAATATTCATATGTATCTACCTCTGCCAGATATTGTGCAACTAAATTATTTTGAAATAGTTTATTGTAAGCTTGTCAATTTAACCTGCGAGGGGGATGCCTACCATCAGCTGTGTTACAATTATTAGTTTTTCTTTTTCTCAAGAATGCAGATGGTTTTCTGTGTTGTGGTATAAAGTGTGTGGCCTGTTGTATGTAGTGTCCATGAAATGAATGTGTATGATTTCAACTTGGAAAGCCACAGTGTCTTTAAATAGACCCATTCATTGTTGTGTTACCTATCATACAATTTGTAAACTGTTTTGCAAGAGTGATGCAGTTGAAAGTCAAAACAATGATAATAAACTGTCTCCATCCAGATGTTGGATGTTGCACAGATGTCTCAACACTGCACCTTGTATTTGTACTATTTGTCTTGTTAATGCCATGGTTTATCAAAACTACAAGAACTAAGCATTTGGCCGAAGACCACTAATGCAATTCCCATAGGCGAATGCTAATGTTTCATCTGATGCCACTCGTTCGAATCTTGTTGCCTAAAGGTAATCAAATTTTTCCTGTGAGTAGTGATATCAGCTCAGACTGTTTTGGGGGAAATTGAAGTTCACACAACTAAAATTGTATTTTTTAAATTTAGTGAAATACACTAAATCTGTTTGCTGAAT